GAATCTCATCGATCCACCAATCAAACGTATGTTGACGTGTAATGGTTCATAATGAATCTGTTTCTCGGCTCTAGATGTCTAAAGCATCTCGCAAAACTCCAATTTATTTACTTTTATTTGCAAAGTCACTGAACACAACGACTGATGGAAACCACGATTTTGTAATGATTTTTATGCATTTTTTTGAAGTTGCGTTTCTTTTTGTCTTTTTTTTACTTCAAGTAGGGAATTGGTCCTGACTTTTTACATTGCTTGTATCGGTTATGTTTTTTTTTTTTTATTTGAAGAGCTCAAATCACAATCATAGTAGTAAAGGAGGGCTGCTTTTTGGAAATGTGCTTAACTTAATGCAGATGAAATCTCACTTTTGAATATTCATATTTGACAGGGTGTGGCATATTTTGTTGCGTTATAGTAATCTAAAAGTAAGTCGATGTTTACATCGTTGAMAATTTGGATAAGTTTTTATAATTGGATTTTAAAAAATCCTTGGAGACGTAGTCTCAGAACACTGAACATGTCAAAAAAGGTGAAGAAGGACATCCGCTTCAAAGTTTTTCAAACAATAACTGACYACCGCCTTTGTCAAAAATATACAGATGAAAAATCAGCTTAAAGTTCGTCAAAATGACCTCAAATTATGACCACTTATTCAATCAGTTTTGAATTCCCTGTTGTTGCTATTTTGTTTTACCCTGTTTTTTTTTGTCTGTTTTGAATTCCCTATTTTTTGTTTTTACGCTCCCCGGCATTACTATAACCGGGAAGCTTCATGTCTCTTTCTCTGCATTCCTCGTAAGTTTGTACAATGACAAATTTTCGAGCACCGCTTTCTTCCTAACTCCAGACTGACATTTCTACAAAGATAGTGAAGCCAATCGTCCGTGCATCTTATTAGCTCACCAARAATAAAACTGTCACTAGTAATGTCATTCTTTAGGCGATGAACTTGACAAGTTTAAATACTGAAAAATTTGTTTTTTTTTACTTTTTGTCAAGAAAAGCTTACAAGCATTTAATAGTGTCAAGCAGTATGTAAAGATCCAATAGTTCCCTTTGTGCAGAAATGTCAACAAGTCAAAATATCTTCCTAGATAATTGAGGCATCGGTAGGTTAAAGTTCTCGAATAATAAAGGCGATTGAATCTAAGTAATTTCAATTTTTTTCAAGTATCTTTTAAAACAGAATTTCGCAGAAGAAGCATTCGTTGCAAACATCCCAAAGTGGAAACGTTTGAGTAAAATTCAACAAGGCATTAACTTGGTAAATACTTGATGAAAATTCAATAAAATGGCACGCATCGATCGGTTTCTGGTGATTTTGGTCTACCAAACACAAGATTAGATTGGTAAATATTGACAAAGGAAAGTCTATACAGTGCTCTTTTGAGTGGCGACGAGCCAACGGATACCAGAAACCCATGCATGAGAGAGCGCGCACAGAGTAGCCATTTAGAGGCGTTGATAGCTATAYATAGTACACAGATCAATTCAGAAATCACTAATCAGATGGAACCGACTTATTTCTTCATGTTGGYGGTCAAAATATTCATTTATCTAGTGAAGATGAAGATCAACATCAATATTAAGCGATATCCGCAAGAAAACGACGAACAGACTTTTCCTCGTTGTCTGTGCACTCAATGCACAATTGAATCATGCAGGTAATTTTTTATTTCGCAATTTCCAAAATAGTGTASCAGTTTACATAACACGGAGATTGAAAAAGTAATTTTATCTTAAAAAAGCCTCAAAACTCCTAATAATAAAGTTGAAAAGAAAACTCGTATAATTGCACTAGATTCATATTCGRACACGTTTTTAAAAACTCCATCTGGAGATGAGCTAGTCTTTCGTCTCTTAAGCTTCGAACAACTCACCGAAACGAAAATATACTTTATAATTCTTGGATATTTTAGCAAGAAGTATAGATTAAACACACTTTTTTATTTCCAGTTTTGTCGAGGCTGAAGAGCGTCAAATGAACTACGAAATGATGGGATGRTCCGAAGAACAAGAATCCACGTGGACTTTCCATGAGGAGTAGCTGAAAAAGCACCAAAAAAAATTTACAAGCTGTATAACTTAATTCATTCCACAAACTATAAAAAAAGGAAGAACAATTTTTGAAACATTTTTAAGGTTTTTAGAATAGMTTCAAGTTCGAATTATTGATAATCTAAGTGGTACAGCTAATTTTAGCTTTTATGAATGCAGCAATTTTGATGTTGTATTTTTGTAAGAGGTAAGCATATTATATTGTATAGGTTTTGCTCAAATAGATGGTATCCAGGATGTATGATGGTGCGTCTAAAAACAGAGAGGATCCGCCGGTTTCTTGGAGAATACGTTCTGTTTATAAATTGAGTCCTGAGCAATGTTCTCTCGGCGGCTCGCATTTTATTCATGTGGACTAATAGCCGACTTTAGATATTTTGGTTCAGTGACCATGCACAAAAGAATTGAAGATGAGTCTCCGGGGAACTAAAAGAATAAATCAAGATTATCCATTGTTTTCCCGTGGCCTCGTGTGCGTTCTTTTGTACATAGTCATCGAAACAAAATATTTAAAGCTGACTAGTAATCAAAAGCTCAAATTTTACAGACAGCACGAGAAATCTAAATTGACACTTTTTTAAAATAACGATGAAGAAAAATTGCGCCTAAAGATCTCCGTCAACTCGGTTAACTCGGACTTTAGAAGTCTTAACCTATGAGCAAAAACTTGGTAGTTTATTAAGGAGCGAGTGAGACGCGAATACTAWATTAGGGGAATCCCTCCCATCTCATCGATCCACCAATGAAACGTATGTTGATCCGTGATGRTTCATAATGAATCTGTTTTCCTGTCAAAAGAGTCAAAAGCGTGTCACAAAACTCCAATTTATTTACTTTTTATTGGCAAAGTCATGGCACACAATGACTGATGGAACTCACGATTTTGTCATGGTTTTTATTTATTTAATTCTTAGATGTTTTTTAATCCGGGAATATGAATTGAGTAAATTTGAGTCCAWTCCGAGCTCACCTCGAATAAAAATGCAAGTTTCTGAGAAAATTGTATAGTGTATAACAACATCTTAARCAACAAGCCGTTCGAACTGCGATTCAGTTTTATACCTTTAAGCATGCCAATAACAACAAACAAACCATATCATTCATCCATTAGTCACTTGTTGTTGCTGCTGTTTGAAAACAAGCTACATATCAAACAATTGTTTCGGAGAAAAATTCATTCGTTTGCCAAACTTTTGCTGACCATATATAGAACTCTTACCTTATAAGGAAGTACGTTATAAAGTTTTTTTCAAGTTTTTTTTCCTATTGGTTAAACAGGCTTCGGTTCTTCTGCAGTGCCAGCGAATGCGACAAATACAGAGACAACAAACCAAAAAGCACCAGTTCCAGCCAGCTCCACWACTCCACCTCCAGGCAGCCTGGCAACACCATCGCCAGCACCAACACCAGCTCCAACCAAGTCGACAACACCAGCTCCACTGAGCCCAGAAATGTGATGAGCCTCTCGCTATGGAGGGCAAAGAGATTACGGATTCCCAAATCACCGCCTCCTCATTCCTCTCAGTCCCCTACTCTCCTGCAAAAGCCAGATTAAATATAGGTGGCTGGCTTCCAAAGGCAGGGAGGCAAGGAGAATGGTTACAAGTCGACCTGGGTAAACTCACCACAAGCTACCACAGTGACTGGCATTGCAACCAAATCTGGGTTTAAGGCACCAAGAGATTGGGTTACTGGCTACGCTTTGAAATACAGTCGAGACGGAAAGACATTTGAAGACTACAAGGCTGGCGAGGTTACATTAACAGTAATGTGGCGGCGAAGTATGAACTTAGTCCACCCATAAAAGCGAGGTATATCAAGGTTCTACCAAGGACTTCGGCAAATCTTGGTATCGAACTCTATGGATGCAAATAAGGTGTGTATTGTTAAAACAAACATAACCATAAGTTCAAACGCAAACGTGAACAAGAAAAATGATGATAAAGACAAACTCGGTATTTTCCATTACTTATCGTTTCCTTTATTTAAAAAGCAACCTATAGGACGAAGAAAGAGAAACCAAGAAAAGTTAAAATTACTAGACTATACTAGACCATGGTTACATTGCGTAATTAACATAATAAAGCTGTAATACTATTGGATGATTTCTCATGCTTTTTACAATCCAATGAGATGTGTCACGCACAAACGATACGTTACTTTAATAAAAGCGGATTTCCGTATGACTGTGCAAAAACACGTCACATTCGCGATGTGCCCGTACCGTGCCGTGGTGTTGCTGTATTGTTGATCATTTATTTTCTTTTTTTCACTACACGTCGTTGCACAGTCATACGATATCCGCTCTAGATAATCGGCGACGAACGACTCGAAGGCGATTTAGTGGCTCATTCATCCACCCAGATAACACAATAAATTACTGGATGCTATTAGTTAGATCTAAATCCACGCATTTGCTTCATGATTTTTTATGTAAAGAAAATATAGCTGCAAATTCACGCTTCAAGATTGCGTGAAGTTTTACCGTTACGAAAACTAGAGCCTAAGCCAGCGTTATCTTTACAGGTTGCATATTTTTATCATGACTTTATGAAGACATTATAATGCGCAATTTTTAAAAAAAATTCTCATCGAAATCAAAACCTCAATTTAATTGTCTGGACCGGGTTTTTCAAAGCCAGATTAGCGCTAATCCTGGGTTAACTCTTAGAAAACCTATGGAGCTAACCCTGGATTAACGCTAGTCGGGCTTTGAACAACCCGGCCCTGTTATCTTGATTTTAGCTTCGAGGTTATCAAAATACATTTCAAATACTAGGGTTTTGTTTCTTCTACGTGTGTTTTAATTTTCCGAGCTTTCGGACAACTTGTCCATCATCAGGGCAAAATGAAATTACAATGCGTGCGCGAGGATACAAATGTAAAACCTCGCGCACGCATTGTAATTTCATTTTGCCCTGATGATGGACAAGTTGTCCGAAAGCTCGGAATATTAAAACACACGTAGAAGAAACAAAACTGAGTATTTATAATGAATCCTACGTACGAAAACATTTTAACAAAATACATTTCAGTTCAGAAAAATCATGATTGTGAACATCTAGGCTTAGCTAAATTTTGAAAATCGTTGTCGACCACGAATTAAAAAGTCATCGGAAAATCTCGGAGGCGGCTTAATTAGCAGCAGCTACGTATAGTCTTTTATGAGTACTACTTGTTTATGGTGTCACTAATGCTGATATCGATAATGATGATGTTTTCGGAAAAAAAACCCATCCGGATTGGTTCGCGATATAAACGAACAGAGTTTGCATCTTTAATAAATGGACCATGCTATCAGCGTCATAACGTACATCAGACCACTGCTCATGCACAGTCCACATGTTGCATGATTTTTTTGCTCCTCATCGTACTCGTACACACGACCAAAGATCGCTGCTGTTAACAATCCATGGCTTAATCTTTTCCTTGAAATCAGTTTGGTTACTGGCATATCATGATACCATTCCCCAGGCAGAAGTGTCACCCCATCACCTACAACTTGTGGGAAGGCATACTTTACATTCAACTGGCTTTTGAGGGTAAATGAGTCGAATATGGTGCTAGAATTAAACGCTTGTTGCCCACATGAGGTGCGGTCTAGCGTCTGACATTTGATCAGAGTACAAATGCGTAGATAGTACTTCCCCTCTAAGGTATGAAGACCATCAAAGACACCCAAAGCAAACAGTTCATCGTCGCGTTTTGCGCTCATTTTGTAATCAAGTGAACAGCAAATTTCCGATTCATTATAACAAACACTCAAGGAATCTTCTGAGTTTTTCAATTCTTTGAATAGAAACAGATCACCAAACAAATTCGAGTAGAAAGCATCTTCATCTATTTTCGCCTGAATTTTTTCGCTGGATATCATAGGAATTTCGCTTCGTCGTGTTTTCCTTGGATTCTTTGATAAGACACCAATAAGTAGTGATCCATTACTGGACATACTTCTATAATAGCTTTTTACACCATTTGGTGAGTAAATTCCACTTCCAGTATTGCTGTATAGTGGAATATGAGTGTTTGCGCCGAGAAAGTTCACTTCCATGCCGCGTGCCCATGAGCCATGGAAACCAATGGCAGAAAACAGAGGCAGCACATCAAACCAAGCTGTGAAAAGTAAATGATAACTGTTTTTGCATGTAATAACAATAACAATGCTATAAAATCACGCCTTATTAGTTATGTACTGTGATATAGAGGATATTACATGGGCGAGCGGAGATACGGATTTTATCTTCGAGTGTTGAAAAGATTTCTCACAAGTGACGGTCAATCTGATTTTAGCGTTGTTTGATTGCAAAGACACAAATACAACAAAAAAGTCATTTGCATACATCTCATTTTTTTATTTTTTAGAATAAATTCAGCCATGCAGCACAAAATTTCAAAAATTCTTTAGAATGTCACAAAGGACCTTTAATTAAGGAATAAAAGACGAAATTCCGTGTTTGATACTCTGATCAAAACACGCGGGATGTAGGGAGAGCACGAGAGAAGCGTAGGAAACCACGACGCGTAGCGGAGTGGTTTCCAGCTTTTCGAGTGCTCTCCCTACATCCCGCGTGTTTTGATCAGAGTATCAAACACGGAATTTCGTCTTTTATTTCTTTTCTAAAATTAAAAGAAAAAAAGAAATTTTTGACGTGCGCGAGCGTGTTTTGATACTGTAATCAAACATGGTTTTCGACCAATCACAGCGCGCGTAGTATCCTAAATATTTTAGAATTCGCTATATAATTAGAGTTTTTTGGAATTCAAAAACCGTTTTATGCAGATAACCTTTGTTGTTCAGGCGCGTAGCATGGACGTTTTGGCTAGTACGCAAATTTCTGGATCCGAAACACATATTTTGGATTGGTGGGGTGTAACCACCGCCGGAGGCGGGTTCATTAAGGCGGGGGCAGGGAAGGGGTTCTTTGGGTCCTCCCCCAGAAAGATGAAATAATAACTCTTGGACTTTGCGATTTCCAGCGTTTTGAGGGGCACCGTTTTATTTAAATGTGAAGCTCAGGTTTTTTTTGATAACGCAGCCTTGGTGCGAGAAAGCAAGTAAAGACAATTATAGTAAAAAATACCGAACATTTTAATATTTCCTTGCCACTAGTACGCACTTGCGTATATGCGTAAAGGACGCTACGCGCCTGATTGTTCTCTTTAATTCAAGTGAACGACTTTAAGGGGATTGACTATATATAATTACGCACGTACAGTCGTTATTTACACAGTTATTACAAAGTTAAATGGGTAACGCTAACTGCTAATCCCGTCCAGTCCTCATTGTCGGACTTTAAATATTATTTACATATGGAACTTATGGGGGACAAATAGTCCGTGATCACTCAAGCTTGACCTGACAGTCCGTATGAAGTGCCAAATTTGACGAAAAAAGACCAGATTTCAAGGCTTTTTGAAGAAATGCGGCGACATTAAAAACAATCCTAAAAACCTAGCACCGGATTTAAGAAATACTAGACGCTTGTAAAGCGTGATGCGGGCTAGCTTAGCAAAAGATTTTCAATACAAGATAAAATTGTATCTCCAATGAATATTGTGACTATGACATAACTATATATGAAAGTAAAATATGCCGTCGAATACCTTAGTTTTCTTTGCAGTTCAATTCTTATCGTGCACCGCAATATTCTTTTCTGGAAACTAATCATTAACCTTCACTGTCTGCTATAATCTTATCATATATCAACTATCAGCCATAATCTTTTTGCTATAGTGATTGTCCTACATTTGCAATGTATTTTGTAATAATATCTATGCAAGCTCTTTACTTCTTGGTTAGCGATATCACATTATTATTTACATAGCAATGCATTTTAGATGACATGGGTGCATTCTTTAAATTTTGTTTTTATTAGCCTTTCTTTCGTACAAACGAAATCTAAAAATTGAAGCAAAACAAAGTTGAATTTCAAAACTTGTACTTTGTCATTTTTAACTAATAAAAAACCCCGATGATATTAAAGCAATTTCTTTGAATTTGAACAATAAAAACATTGTCATTTAAACAGAAAAATACCTTTTGCTGTCTATAAATGTGGAAAAAAGCCAGTATTTGAGCTGATTTCATGTTGAAGCTAGCTGTACTGAATAATCATCGAGCTGGACTAGTGAGGAATGCGAGACTATTTTCGATGCAAAATCGTCTTAAAATGATAACTAGCAAGCTTGAAACTTCACAAATGCAATATCCTAGCTCAATTCTTCAATGAGAAAGCTTTTGGTATTTCTTGTTGATAGTTTTTGAGTACTTTTTTCTTTGTTATCGGCGAAGTACCCGCCATTTTGGATTCTTGAGAAAATTTTCAGTTCGAGAGAGACTGCAAACTAATAGATATGGCTTCCTGTGGTTCGAGAGAGACTGGAAACTTCGACCCGACAGAGTGCGAAAGGTAAAACTATAGCTGGCTAGCACAGCTAGCCCGCTAAAAATCTATATGCGACCTTTCTGGGTATTTTTCATGAGAAAATTCGAAAATCCAATCACGTATTTTTGCCCTTGAAGAGTTGAGGTTGAGCATGCATTAAAATAGTATGGCGATCCATGTTTTCACCACAGTTCGCTCCAAAAAACTGGGCCTCGCGCATAACTTATTTTGTTAATAAAAAACCTAGCACCGGATTTAAGAAATAAAATGTATGTGTGACATTGCTGTGTATTTTTCGTGAGAAAATTTAAAAATCAAATTACGTGTTTTTGCCTTTGAAGAGTTGGCGTTGCTTCGCATCCGTTTGCGTTTCGGGATTCCTGTCCCGACGATGAACGGATGCAAAGGAGACTACTTCTGTAGGCACAAGCAACAAAAATCAAACTTGAATTTTTCAAATTATTGCTTTCTTATTATATGTTGAAAATGTACTCAAAACTATGCAGTTTTGTGTTAATTCAATATTTGAAAAATTTATATCAGTCAGTGAACGTAACTGTGATATTATATGTACATGTACTTTCCTTTCCGATAGGTGACTTTGCTATTAATAGTATTTAATGGTCAGATGATGATGTTAATGAGGTCCATCGACGACAAAATATTAATTAACTCCATTGTATTATATTTCATGAAGTAAACAAATAAATTACATGCATATATACATGCATGCATGGATGCATGAGTGAGCCTGGACAATAATCCAAGCAAATGTCACCCGATGTATGGCAATAAGCTCCATATGTTATGCATTTATTAACTTTATGTTGTCATTATGTCAAGTGAACAACGTTAATGGAATGAATGTATATCTAGAGCAGAACTATAAATATGTCAAATTTCCAGTATTTTCTAGATCCGCAAAAGTTGAAACCAATGTTTCAAAGTCAGATGACCTCAATCAGATCACGTGATCGATGATTACATCAGCTGCATCTTTTAAAAAATACTTCAAACATGGTCAGAGTGAAACTAGGATTCATTGGTGTTGGGTTACTCTAATATTTCTCAAGCTGTTTTACCTGTAGGAAAGACTATGTGGTCCACGTTGTATTCAGTGACCAGCGGTATCGCGGGGTCGTGGAAGAGGACATCAAAGCATATCATTGTTCCAAATTTACCAAATGGTGTGATGAAAGTGATGAATTCTGGTACTCGCGGACGATCGACGACCTTCATTTCGTTTAGGAATGGATGCTGCTTGTGATACCTATAAAAATATTCAATTAATTTTGATATTAATCAGAGTATATCCAAGGTATATAATATAATTACCGTATAAAATAAGAGTATGATATTGGAAAGTTTAATTGGTTTTGATCATTACAGATAAATTGAGATATCCGTTAGCTAATTGTCGATGCGCTGGTGCTTGCAATCTTTCGATCATTTATTCAAATCCAATTTCAATATTTCAATATTCCACGTTTTTTTAGTATCGAATGAAAAGAAGCGCAAATTATCGAAACATGCAATGTAAAAAAATTAGTTTATGGTCTTTTTCTGGTCCTATAATTTGGTGGATACTAAAACAATTAGACCACTAATTGGTCTCTCGTGAACTACATACATTCGGCTGAGTACGGCCTCGAGTGCTCGTAGTCGACTCGACCTTGTGGTCTAATTGCCAACTGTACTTTACTTGAGGATTTGATAATCAGGACTGGTGTTTCTCTTTTTTCTTTTTTTATTGTTCTATTTTAAAATTCTTTTGTTATGAACTGTTTGTGAGTATTTTGTTATGAAATGCTCATTTTCGCAGCCAGCTCTTACACACTAAACTGACATGTGCATTGAGCTAACTATTTAATTTAGGTCCGCATTAATAAAATTTAACGAACTCCCCAAGTGTAAGGCGGCCTACGGGCCTGTTAATATACCTTGCAACTAAAGTCCCCATATCGTTAAACACAACGTTGGTATTATACTGATATCTTCCGTCCTTAGGGCAATGGGGGTCTTTATGGCAGACTTTTATATCACCCATGTTGGCTACGATGTAGATACTGTTATCTCTAGCAAGACAGCTGAGTCGGTAGATGATGGGTGTCGTTAAGTTTGTCGTTGGGTCGTTGCATGCTGTCAGGTTTGTTTTCATTGGATCTGGAATATCCTCCAAGAACGGTTTAAATGAATCACGTGTGTAACCAAAACCAGTCAGACCGTACTCGGGAAAAACAATGATGCTAGTGTTCTATGATAGAATGACAATGTGCTTTAAAATGGTGGAAACTAGCGGGTAAACTAGTGTGATATGCGTCGGTGTTTCTAAAGAAACAGTTGTGTAAAAAGATGAATTTAGCGCCGTAAAAAGTAGGTGAATTAACTTACTCTCTTAGTTTACTCTGACGAAGGATTAACGTCCGAAACGACAGTTAGTTATTTCACCTACTTTTTTACGGTGTTAAATTTATCTTTTTACACAATAATATACTTTATTTATTTATTGAATTTATAGACTTTCCCGGAGATCGCCTTGCCTTACAAACTAGGCTACAATAAAAAGGGCCTTTTTCTGCAAAAAGAAAAAAAAAAAAAAAAAATAGTGAAAAAGAAAAGACGAAAAAAAAACTAATGATAGAAATGTAAATCGGCCGATAATGAACTAAATTAGCCGGCAGACGTGGCAAACAYTTTTCAAATTGTACAAACTTTGCTTAGGCGTCTACAGGGGAAAGAAAAAAAATATCAAAAAAAGAAAAAAAAAAAAAAAAAAAAAAAAAATAGTGAAAAAGAAAAGACGAAAAAAAAACTAATGATAGAAATGTAAATCGGCCGATAATGAACTAAATTAGCCGGCAGACGTGGCAAACACTTCACGCCGACAGACTTTAAAGACTGTAACTTTTCAAGTCAAATAAGAGAAAAATAACATCAATGACTTCCCAAAAACGTTGTCGGTGATGAGAACGTCAAACGCCGATTGTCGAAAGGAGATTGCTCGACCGAAAGAGACCATAGTTACACTGCTGTTTTTTAAAACAAATTTTCACCTATTGGATTCATCTTGATAGAAAAGAAGAAAAAATTGAGCCGACGTTTATCACAGACTATCTTACATTATAAATAATTTGTTATTTGCCTTCAATTAGCAAGACCTGTGGGTCCTCACGGTCATTCGCCATTTTATCCGACAATCAATCCTTTTTGAACTTGGCCCGAATGCTTTCTTTTATCGATTTATTGATTCTTATTATCATATTATTATTATTATTCTATTTCTTTATGACAACCTCCTTGCAACTAATTAGATATGATATCTATACCTATTTCAATAATGTTATGTCGGATAAAATGGCAAAAAATTCCCTTTCGGTCGTGCAATCTCCCTTCGACAACCGTCGTTAGGCGTTCCCCCCACAACGTTTGCTTTAATAGAGAGAGCACATTTTAAAAATCTCATCTTGAAGTAATGGATCTAGTTTTAAACTAAGATACTCAGTCCTTAACTCACACAAAAACCCGCAGTTTATTGAGAAAAATAGTTTCGTCTTACGAACTTATCAAAAAAATCATTGGAACAAATTAATAGTAGTATTACCAAAGTGAAGCACAAAAACCCATGAAATAGATATTACACTCTATTACACCTTGATACGCTCTAATTGCATTATATTCTTCTGTGTCTATTTGACTATCACATTTTATTCAAGAAAATTTTGTTTCACGGGTTTAATAAATTCACCCTAATAAATAGTGCGGTTTATGATACAACACTAAGCAAAGAAATCAGCATGAGTTATTACTATTTTATACTATCTTAATATCATAGTTTAAAGTGCATTTTCAGAGTAGTTACGCCCTATTTTTGATAGAGATTGAAAATAAATTAAAATAAGAGAAAATTGCCATATTTTGTCGGATTTGAATGACATTCCTGGCTGACTGACTGACACTAACCACCGTACTACTACTTACATGTTCCTTGGCTCGTTGTATCTGTAGTTCGTAGATGTCCATGTTTGTCATAACAATCTTCAGTGCTTGTTGCTTAGTAAGGACAGTTTTCCTGTCCGCTGCACCAATGACAGCGTGCTCATATACAGCAGCTACAAACTCCAAAGAACTGTCATGCGCACTTGTCGATATACCTCCCATGCAAACCCATAACATTACGATGACTTTCAAACCCTCCATACTGATTGATGTGACAATCTTCAATAAAAACAAATAATCGATGCAAAACGTTTGTTTTTTTACGATCTTATATCAGACGTGACAACACACAATATATAAGGGGTTGCACAAACAATTTAAGAAAAAAAAAACGTGTGATATCATGCTATTGACGTAATGTGTATGCAAAATGGTGGGAGAAGAGCGGTAAACTAGTGTGAGCTGCATCGGTGTTTCTAAAGATAAACAGTTTTGTCTCCTTACTTCGACGAATAACGTCCGAAACGTCAGTAAGTTACACTTATTTGAGCCTGCAAAGAACCTCGGGGTTTCCATGCGTAATTAATATATTCAAAATATATTGTGGTTTAAATTCAATGTCGGCAAACACTACAAACCCTTCTCATACTCATTAATTATTCATGAGGCATCTAGCCAATCCCTGATTGTAATTTGTACCACGTGCAGTTAACTGGATACCAGAGGAAGTACTCCTACCTTGTATTCTATCTTATTTCCAGTTACTTCCACCTTGTTTCTAGTTACTTCTATCTTATTTCCAGTTACTCTTACCTTGATTCTAGTTACTTCTAGCTTTTTCTAACTACTACTAGCTAATGATAATCAAAGTATTAGAAATAATCAACTTAATATAGAATTGATTTAGTGAAAAAAGGTCTTTGATAAATGACTCCCTCACGAAACGATCCCGAACCGTCCAATCTATATGCGCCGTCTTATACCATTACACCACCGAGTTTCTGATGCGATTCCTTGGAAGATAACATACTTATAAAACTTATGAATTAGGCTCATTAGGAATGCCATGAAAAGCAAACAAAGACAATTTGAAAAGCTTTTGTTTCAGAAAGCCGTTCGGGAATTGAAAAACAACAAACGGTGCTTCTTTATTCAAAATTATGAAAACTGAAAACCTTAGTGGAGATGCAATAAATCAATATATTTATGTTATATGTATTTCCTTCGCTTTTTTCCCCTCCCAAATAATTAATGAGTATGAGAAGTCGTTCAAAGTCCTCCAATTCGGACTGGGCGGGATTTCAAGGCGTTAGCTGAGGACTGGAACTAATTGCGCGGACTTGAAACCCCGTCCAGTCCTCATTGTCGGACTTTAAACATTACATCGAAAAAATCTCGCAATACGACATTTTCCTTGAAAAATGTTCCACGTTTTCATCAATGAGTTTCAAAGCTATATTCGCTACGCGACAGAGAATAATCCAGTTTCGAATTCTCCAATGCTCTGTGTTAGCCTCATTTGTGCGCAAAATGTTCCTAGTAATTATGAGAGTAAAAGTGTGAGATTTCAAATCAATTCTATTGTCTCTCTTTTCAAATTCCATATGGGTTTTCTCGGGCTACCAATTAAACTAACAAAGAGCAAAACAGACAGAGACACAGGTCAAAACAGAATTCGAAATTGGAATATTTTGAATTACTGAAATTGAATATATAATTATATATGGAAACCCCGAGATTCTTTGCAGGCTCAAGACCGTGGACTTTGTCCTGGCGACGACGTTTTAAATAAGTGTATTTCACCGAGTTTTTACGGTGTTAAATTTACCTTTTAACTGTTAATACGTATGCAGTGTTTTGTCAAAACTCGTGTCACGCATTGAACTGATTAACCTAAAGAAACAGGAAATAGTATGGACTGTCCGTAGAGAAATGTGTCTAACCATGCTGCTAGCAACATAAAAGATTTGGATGGTTTGTCATTTCAAAAAGATAGAAATTATACGGCATATATATAGGCTATTGTTATTAAGATTCAATGATGAAGTCAACATAACCATCATTACGTCATATATTTCTGCATTTAATTTCGTCAGTCACCATGAGTAAGCAGATTGATGCGTAATTCGGTCAATCTGTTCCATACTGTTCGTCAGTATAAATCTAAGTTAGTTTACTATTTTAGCATTGTATGATTCTTTTGTCAATTAGAAATAAAAACTGTATATTTCCATCACAAAAAAATACCTTAAGTTTGTCTCTTCTCTGTCTTTGCTAAATTGTGCTTGCTGTGCTTTTTTACCTGTCATGTGCTGTGAAGTCGCTTAGCTATTAACTGATGGAATATAAGAATAACATAGATTGGGGGAATGGGTAAGAGAGTTATACAGCTATCCCAAAATTCAAAACGTTGAGTGGTGAATCTGAAACTTTTGTATATGACCGCTTTGCCTATTTAAAGATACGGCTTTTGCAGCTAGAGTACAAACACTAAAACTGTGCAACATAAATACCACTAAATACATGCTAATTCTATTGTTTTCTGTTGCTTAATTAACATTTTTTGTAGTAAATAGTTGAAGTGTTGCACACATTTAATGTTTGTACTCTAGGATTCATAGTTAGTATATATATCTAGTTATCTCTAGCTTTTAATTTTTTTAATAACAGCCGTTTCGATCTGGTCTCAGATAAGTGATTAGAAGTGACCGAGAAGTTTTAAAAGCCTAACAAGTGCATGATAATGAGTTCCAAACCCATGGGTCTGGATACCCAAACACACGGGTTTGGAACTAATTACCATCCGATGTTGGATCACGTGACCCTAAAATAAACAACCGATTGGACTATAAAGTCATGAATTATTGATTAATTTCTCTTGTTCTTACATCCCAATGACATGTCACGTGCATGCACTACTCATTAGTTTAATTGCTTGACATC